ACTCTTTATAGAGATCATATTTTTAAAATCTGACCGGTAATTTTGTAAAGCTTGTCTTGAAAAACAAAATTACTGGTTAGTTTTTTAAAATTTTAATTTTTTAAGAAGTTAATAGATTTTAAAAATCATCTATTATATCAGAGAGTTAAGACTTCCTGCACCATACGACAAATAAAATGTATTTACTTTGTGGCCAAAAAGCATCTTTCTTTTAATGTATATTCTGATTTATATAGTTTAGTTGTGAATAGTAATAATATTTCATCAGATCTCCAAATACTTAAATTTTCTGTACTTAGTTTAGAAAAATCTGAAGGATCTAAAAAATATAAAAGTTATAGTTCTTATTTAAATCCTATTGTAGCTCAAAATTTTGCAATAGCAATTGTGCATATAATTGAAAAAGAGCTTATTAATGAGATTAGATCTGCAAAAAACTGGAGTATTATGATCGATGAAAGCAATTCTATAGATAAAAAATATCTTGTTATTGTAGCACAATATATAGCACTTAATGTACTAGTTATTCATTATATGGGCGTAATAAAATTAGATGACTATAGATTAGAATATATCTTTGAAAAAATTAAAGAATTTTATAGCTAGCAAAGATTTAAATATTGAGAATATCATGTATTTTGGTAGTGATAGCACTTCAACAATGACCAGTAAATAAATAAATATCTTTATTATAGTTAATATACGTATATACAGTATATTATATATTAATTATTGCTATTAATATTTATTAAAGATTCAAAAACTGATATTTCAACAAGATTTAAAAATTCAAATCCATTTATGATATCAGTACATTGTATCATATATCAGTTATATCTCGTAGAACAGGATGTAGCAAAAGAAGTTCTACATTTCAAAGAATATGAATCTATATGATTATATAGTTATTTTAGTAGCTCATACAAGTATATATTAAATTTAAAAATGATTCAAGAAACTAATAATGAATTGCAATTATGTCTACTAAATATAATCAATACCCGATACTTTCTATATCAAATATAGTTTATAATTTATATCAAATTCACGACTCTGTTAAGAATACTTTAAATCATGATTTTATAACTGCAGAAAGTAAGCAAGATACCGTATATATCAAAAAATAAGCTACCATTTTTGGGCAAAAAGTTATACAAAAATTTTACAGGTAGTTTATTTTTGGATAAAAGTGTTTTTGCTAATTGCGAAACATTTTACTATGTAAATCGATCATGCATATTAAGTGAAAGTTGTTAAGGAGATAAAATTACACATATCCTGAAAGTTTCATAAAAATCAGATAATTTTTTATTAATTGACTTTGATTTTTATGTTCGACAAATATGAATTTTAAAGAAATGTTAAAGAAATTTTAAAACATTCATCGAATATAACATGCAAAAACGTATTAATAAAAAGTTATTTAATTTGGATGAAACTTTCAAAATATATGTATTTTGATCTTCTGAACAACTTTTACTTAATAAGCTATGTCGATTTAC